ATCGTCGCATGAACAACATCAAATGTAATGGCAATGATTTATGGGGAGTAAAAGCACAAATGTTAAGCTGCTGATACTTAAACCCATATCGTGAGGACATAGTATAAAACTCCAAATGAGCTCTGGTTACTTCTCTTGTGCTGTTGTATCCTAAATTGATGCAATCCAGGTGTTGAGTGGCAAACTGTTTGCAAAACCTTGTGAAACCACACGCTCTGCTTGCAAGATCTATGTAACATCTTCCAAGGACTAATAACAAAACAGTGCTTGACCACTGAAGCAGATGTTGGAAGTGGACCAAAGTTATTTTGGAACAAGCCTGTAAAGATTTAAGGTAAATCTAGAAGGTTCTTTCTTCCTTGAGTAGCACAACAGAAAAAAGAAAGAGACAGAAAGGCTGGCACACTGGTGTTTGCATTGGTGGGCGAGTGCATGACTTCACAAGCTCTCTCTTACTCTCTATCAGGCCAGTTAGCAGCACATCTTGGGGGTAAGTCCACTGCTTCAAGACGGAATCAGTGCAGGGTTGGAGCCCTCCCACACATGTCTGTGTGTGTGTGCATACTGCTAAACCAGACAAAGCCTTGCAGCTCCTTCGAGAATCAGTTTTACATTGCTTGCAGTCTCTCTCTCTCTGTCTCTCTCTTCACACTTTCAGTACAGTCTAGCTGAGTGGGTGAAAAGCAAGGAGTTCATGAGAGAGAGAAGGAGAGAGAGAGGGGGGGGAAGGTGAGAGAGAGAGAGAGAGAGAGAGAGAGAGAGAGAGCAAGCGCAGCCACTCATTCGTCCCTCACTCCAGGCTCTAAGTTTACAGGCAGCCAGGCAGATTTTCTTGGCTTGGATGCAGCGCTCATGACAGGATTAGGAGCCTGGGATACAGGATCAACCGGAGATCTGCAGGTCCTAGTGGATGAGCCCAGGTCAGATTCTCACCCTGCACAGGTAGGAAAGAAAAACAGTGCATCAGACCTTTCTGCCTGCATATATAAAAATGTGCAACCTTGGGATTGTTCAAAGTATATTTCTTTAACAAAATCTGATTCTCCAAGTGTTAACAAAAGGCCACAGTGAACCCGTTAAATCATAAAGTAAAGGGTGCAAAGTTGCAGAGTATGTAGCAATAAAATGTACCAAAGTGTTGCCTTTTAATTTTAACAGACATATATTACTTCCCCTTTGTTTTAACCCCTTTGTTCTTTAGAAATTACAGGGAGTTTGGAGGCGTGCACTAACAATGAATGAAAAAACTCTGTCAGTTTTCATTACTTACTAAAGGATTGATAGTAAGAGAGTCAAAGACAAGTTTTGGCAAATGCAGAAGCAAAATTGAAATTCTGGATTGAGTGTCAGGCACTAACTCAATAACAACTCATCACAAATGTGAAGCTTTGAAAGGGGAGAAATGAGCAACACACAAGTTTGTAGAACATGCAAAATGCAATTAAAACTCATAAACAGGGAGGAGATTAGAAAATCTTTTTAAAAAAATAATTTCAGCAAAGTTCTCTCTTGTTTCTTGCTCTGTATTTGTTGATTCGTTGAATTGCTGAAGTAAGCATTCTTTCCACTATGAAATTTCTAGCTGGAAGTGCTGAAGAGGTGCCAAGTTTATTTTAAAATGTGCGTGTGGGCGGATGGGGATCATTGTCGCCAGAGATGAATTTTGAAATCCCTGCAAAAGCAGCAAAAGAGAAAAAAACAAAACAGGAACGAAACATCCAAGTTCTTGTTTCAGATGCTTCCTTTCTGTTATGTAACTGGCCGGTGGTCCCGCTCACACTGCTGCGACAGATTGAGCCGAGCACCACTTCTGCCAGGGAGAGAGGTGAATTTCTTTTCTTGGACCCTCTTTGCACTGTAAGGAAGAAATTATAGATAGCCACGCCCTTAGAACCCTCCTGTTGTGTGCTACTTCATGTTCATTGAATGCAGCCGGTTCTCTATCTCGTTGAAAATGAAGGACTGCAAGAGAGTTCAAGGAAATGGCAAAAAGCATTCACATTTTCAAAAAGCTTGATGTTAGAATATTCTAAAGGATCCACACACTGCTGCACAGATTGTGCTGTTTTCTCACAGGTTGCTTATATTTGATTATATTTGCGCATGTCCTTGCAGCAATATGCACACACAGATTTACGTGCCCTCTTTTAACTGAAATTCCAAACGTACGCTTGGGAAGTGGGAGCAGCGTGTGGTTTCACCCTGAAATTCTTCAGGGAGAAAAGGAGAGAAGAGAAACTTGGTAAAGTTGCAGGTTTACTCTGATTACAAAGTGCATCAGTGCCTTTTAGTAAAACTTCCTTCTTCTCAGTCTTGTTGCAGTTACATTTAAATAGAGCACGCTGGGGTAAGAACACGAGTGGGAGAACTGTGTTTGTCTTTACCGCTCAGATGTGTCTGGCACCAAACCAAAGCTGGGTGGTGGGGGAAGGCATTGTGCATGCGTTTGAACTCTGTTAAACATCTTGTGTCAGCTTTTGAACTCCCTTTTTAAAAAAAAAGTAGACACTGAAGTTTGAGGACATACTATGTTACCAAACACCGCAAAATATTGCATAATAATAAGATAAAGCACTTTGTTTTTTAGGATGGGTGGTGGTGGTAGGGTAATGACTCCATAATCTTTACTTTAAGCTGGCCATTTTTCCCGTACAGGAGTTGCACAGATGCAGCTGGACGCTGGCCACTCTCAAAGGGGACCAACTGCTGATTTTGGACATGCTTTTGCACGTGTTTGGATTTCAAAGTGTTCTTGAAAGCTGTTCCTCGTGGGTCTTGCAGGGGGAAGACACAAAAACAGGCAAAATGGCTCGTTTCTGTCAGAAAAGTCCTCCTCCTGCTGTTTGCTTTTGTGAGCCGGGGCACCTCTGACCCTCTCCGAAACACTCAAGCGTTCACTTTCTGTCTCCAAACATTTCTTTCACAGCACTCTCAGTTTTCCTGCACTGCAGAAATGAACTTGTATGGTTTCAATTAGGCTCTCAGGGACGTGTGAGGGTTCTCTCTTGAATGCTTTCTACATGCGCAGCATGTCTGTCTCTGTTACTGTCTCATCCTCTCCTTTAGCATTATGGGTTTATTATTAGACTTCCCTCCCACTTCTGTTTTCTATACATTCCCACTGTCTGCATTTTTATTCTTTCCCTGTCTTCATCTCTCTCTGTTTGGAGTAGCTTGTCGGCAGGTCTGTTGCACAGTTGCACTTAGGCACACATGCAGGAGAGTTAACCCAAAGGAAACAAAGCAAGGTCACTGTATTGGGAGGCTTTCCAGTGTATTAAAGAAGAAAAGTCACCTATCACATATAAGCTCACTCCTTGTCCATGCTCTCCAATTTTCTGTCTTTTTTTCTTCTCTTATTAACTGCCTGACTTACCAATTGATGGCTTCCGTGTGCATGCGACTTGGATGGAATTTTTACATTTCGTATTAGTAGCTAAGCAGGAAAACCTCATTCTTGTTTTTACAGCCTCCCCTTCTTGTTCTCACTTCTCTCTCTAACACAGTAGCCCTTGTGTTTCTGAACTGTTTCCCCTGGCGGTCTGAACTCTTTCCATACCAAGTGGCCTGTCCACTGTTACTGGAGCACCAAGATCCTCTGTGGTCGACCAGTGGAGGTAGCCACTGTGCAGTCTCAAGGCATTGCTGGTGATATACTGTTACACTAATCACTACAATTTTCAGGGTTTTTTTTGTTTGTTTGTTTTTTTTTAGCTTTTTAGGTACATCCTGCTTCATCATCAGTCAGGAAGTCATTGCCGTGGTTTTGACTTGTCTTTTCGTCATTTGTAAACCAGCAACAGCGCTCTGTCCTGATTATGTAATATCCCAGCAGTCATCGAGAGGTCACCGGTGGTCTGTGCTTTGGCCCACAGATATAATCTGACTAGATCTATTACACGGGGACCTTTTGCTGTGTCAGTTTTCCCCCAGCTGGCCAGGGTTTAACCAAAAGGCTTTCTTCTTTGTTCTTGGCTTAACAAAAACTGTGACACTTAAAACCAAACAAAAAATATCTCCTCTTTGCCAGCAGGAATTTCCCTTTAGCTGATGTCACTTTTTTTTGGTAACTTTAATTTTGTCTTTGGGACTTGCACTTTCTTCCTGCGGTTTCTATTTAGTCTGAAACATCTTTTGCATCTGGTTTTCGAATAAACGAGCAGCCACCATCTGTATTTGTCCAAACTGCAGTCTGTGCCTCTTCTTCTCTAACTCCCTCTTCCTGATGTAGGTGGTATGCGATGGTGTTAGAGGCCAACCTGTCTGCTCTGGTCTACTGAGCCGAAATGGCCCATTTGAGCCCACATAGACAATTCAGGAAACATACACAGACACTCAAAGACAGAGCATGCTCAGGCATATGTCTGCAGGTGCCTGTTGTATGAATACTTTGCTATCTGCTTTATTTTCCAGTATTGACAGCCCTAGATTATGTGTATATTTTGTGCAGTATGGGTACTACTGTACATACAGTCAATGAATCACTTGTATCTTTTCGTTTTTTGCACAATATCCATTTTTATGCAATGCAGTAAACTTTTATTACGTTACTATTACACTACTAGAGATTCCTTGAGAGTAATCATACAAATACTCGCATATGAACACAAATCCCTAATACCTTATTTTGTCTGGATACAGAAGATGTTGCATTTAAAGATAAACTCACAAGACACTCAATTTGCTAGTATCCTTTAGTCGTTGGACGCACTTCAACTCTTCATGGCATTAATTCAACGAGGTGCTGAAAACATTCTGCAGAGATTTTGGTCCATGTTGACATGTTAGTATGACACAGTTTTTGCAGATTTGTCAGCTGCACACCTGTTATTCAAATCCGCCGCATCCCAGTGGTACTCTATTGGATTGAGACCTGATAACTGTGTCAAACCATCTGAGTACAGTCAACCCAATGTCATGGTCAACAAACCAGTTCGAGATTAAATGTACACATAGTACATTTTTTGAGTTGCTGTTAACTTCCTATAAGAGTGATAGTTCTCCTCTGAAATCAACAAGGCACTTTTTCTGCCACGTATTGCATATTTTTCCTGTTTTTCGGGCCATTTTCTGTAAACTCTAGAGAAGTTTGTGTGGGAATATCCACAAATCAGCAGTTTCTGACATGCTCAGACCAGCCTGTCTGGCGCTAACAAGCATGCCACGTTCAAAGCCACTTAAATCTTCTTTTTTTCCCCATTCTCATCCATGGTTTGAATGTTGGCAGGCCAGCTAGACCTTGTCTACATGCCTAAATGCATTCAATTCCTCCTGTGTGATTGGCTGGTTAGTAATTTGTGTTAAAAAGCCACACAACATGTGTACCTGACAAAGTGATTGGTCAGTGTAGCATAATTGGTAAAAACCAAGCTGAAGAGCACTTCACAGAAAAATGTAAGAGAGATTACTGTAGAAATGGATGATTTTTTTCTGATGACTTAATCAAGCTACTTTTAATTGGTGCTTAGTTGGGGTCAGTATACACTCAGCTTGGGTCTGGAGATCTTTCACTTAGTGCTTTATTATAACACGTTACTTTGGTAGGTGCTTGAAGGCATTTGATGTTGTGTTCTCAACAGAGCAGAGCTGTCTCTGGGCAGGGACCAGTTTGCACTTCACTGTTACTTTGTTGTTGTTATGTGAAATATTTTATGATTCATATGTGCAAATCTCCACACCCTCTAACAACATCCTATCTCATGCGTGAACTAAAATTGGGCAATTGTTGGAATGCAAATTAAAATCTAATTTGATTTTGATCATATGCTTTTTGTATATAATCAGAGAATGCTTAAAAACTGAGACTACAACAAAAGCAATCTCACTGTTTGATTAGTAACTCTAATTCCAATACTGAAGGTAGGAATGGTTGTGCGTTCGCAGCATTACAGATGTGTGAATGTAATATGAATGTTATAATCGGTTACTTTTTGATGTGTTACACTGAGCGCTGCTCATAAAATGACATAGGGTTAAAAATAATAGCACTTTTGATAAGGCACTTTAAAGCTGGTTCAGCAGGGAGACAATATATTCAGATCAACACTCCCTGCAAACTTTCCCCAAAACATATTCCTCAGACTTAGGTATTTATTCAGCGGTTTGTTTTCATTTGTGTCGACAACTTCAAGCTCTTTTGCTCATCTAAAGACTGCATGCATCAATTGTCTTGTAAAAAGTTATTGGTTTCTTTGAAAAATAAATTCCTCACAACTGAGCCAGAAATGCAAAAAAGTAATTAACAACAAGAAAAAAACCCTCAAAGAACATGCTGTATCTCTACCATTGTAAAGTAACCCGGAGACAATTAAATGCCACTCTTGCTAGCAGGCAGGACTTTTGCTGAACTCGTGGATACAACTGTGTTCCAGACTGGGCATAGACATGACACTATCCACACAAAAATTATGAACAAAAAAATGCACTATGATTAAGGTCTCTGAGGCAAAAGAAAGGACTCGAATTCTTTGCACAGGTTTATTTTCATGTAGTCAAAACGCAGGGACATGTTGCTACCACATTTTATGTCTAGACCAAACTCTATTCTTGTTCAGGACAGATGTTATAGTGGCAGGAAAACAGTCTGTGTGATATTTAGAGACGCTCCTGAGGATAAATGGGCCTTCTGTAGATGTTCTAAGATGGAGGGAGATAGTTTTTTTTTCTTTTTCTTTGACCACTTTGGGTTGGCATACACTGACCAGTGGTAGCTGGAGTGGGAAATAATACCAGAGTGGAAGGACTAAACTAGTCTGCTGTGGCCATGGGGCTAACCAAAGGGACGGGTTTAGCCTGAGTGGGTTTATTATGGTCACAGCTGGAATGTGTGCTGGATAATGTAGAGTGACTATGCCAATAGTTGTCTAGAAGCTTGATAACCACCTAGCTAGCTAGCTAGCTAGCTAGCTAGATAAAAAGAGAGATAGACCAGCACCACAGTTACATATATAAATGGGTAGGTATACATCACTAGTGGGTTTGACCCCCTTTTCTTCATGGCATAGATTCAAAAGCTTCTGGAAATATTCTTTATAGATTTTGGTCCATATTGACATGATAGCATCTGCAGTTCTTGCAGATTTGTCAACTTCACATCTGTTATGCAAATCTTCCATTCCACCACAGCCCAAAGGTGCTCTATTGTGACATGGCTTGTTATCCTGGTCAAAGTATCCATCACAAGATCAGTACACTCTGGACATAAAGGGCTAGACATGGTCAGCAACAATATTTAGGCTGTGGTGTTTGAATCATTCTCAGTATTTTATGGGGCTCAAATATTTTCACCAAGAAAATATCTTCCACACCATTACCCCACCAGCAGCCTGAACTATTAATTCAAGGCAGGGTGGATCCATGCTTTCATGTTGTTTATGCCAAATTTTAACTCAGCCAACAATGTCACAGCAGAAATTGATACTCATGAGACAAGCCAACATTTTTCCAATTATCTGTTGTCTAATTTTGAGCGAGTCAGTGTGAACTGTAGCCTCAGTTTTCTGTTCTTAGTGGAGATGAACGGCACCCAGTGTGATCTTCTGCTGCTGCAGCATGTTTGCTTCTAGGTTCAGTGATGCTTTTCTGCATAGCTTGGTTGTAAGAAGAGGTCATTTATATAATATGATATAATTATTATTATTATGCCAGTTTAAATGCCTTAAACTGAAAGCACTTACATTGGCAAATACTTAAATATTGATACACAGGGGATGTGTCTGGATCTCCTCAACAAGTCTCTCTGTGCTTTCAACCTGAGTCTAGTCTAGTCTGGACTTTATACGTGGCACAAGTCTCTCATTGTGTTAAAACATGCCACTCATCAGGTTCATAAACATTTAACACAGGATCTATAACATGTTCTCTTGCTTGCACACCGGCACATAAATACAGAGAAAGAAGAAAGACAGGCACAGTTAGGCAGATAATGATAGGTAGTGACTTAGAAGACCAATTCATTAAGTTCTTCTTGGGTTTGGAGAGACAGCTCGATGGAAGGGAATTGCTGCATATAATGGCTTCAGCGAAAGAAACTTAAGGTTTATGTTTGCTTCATTTGATTAGAGATCATTTGTAGATGGACAGAAGATTTCTCAGTGAAGTGCAAAGTATTTCCCCAGATACATTCCCAGCTGTTTTTGCTTGTAGCTAGCTACATGCCCTGTCTGTTCTTCACAATGGAACGACACCATCTGCATTGACAGGCTTGTTCCACTGTATGAGTCTGAAAGATGGTAAGAGAGCTGCGGTTTGGTACAGTTGGCCTTAGTCAGCACACACGTGTGTCTGTATGTGTGCGCGTGGGGTGCACGTTGGCAGCCCTGTCGGCCTTCCCCTCTTTTTTTCTTTTTGGCTCTGATAACACAAGGGATTCATGACTCATATATTTTGGCATGAAATGTGCACACCCATACACATGCGCATATTAACATAGCCAGCAGGCTGTGAGAACAACCGACTGTAGAGTAAAAAAAAAGACAATTACCATCATTATTAGGCAATAAATAATAATATTTACAGTCTTGACATATTCATATTTGCACCTGATGACAATGTTGGAGTTTGACAGTGCAAATGGCAAGAACAGCAGACCAAGAAACAGACATACAGGCTCTATGTGGTTTTAAAAGAAATAGTTTATTTGGGAAATTTGGTAGGCTGCTGTAAATATGAAACTACAATCAGCCTTGTTTGCTTAGCAAAATGACTGGAAACCAGTAGAAACGGCTTGCCTGCATGTGCCCTGATATTTAAAAAAAACCAAAAAAACAAAACTGCTTACATTACCTTTTAAGTTCACTAATTAACACGCCACATTTTGGTGGTTTGACCTATATAGTAAACGGTGTGTAAACAAACCGCAAACTTGTGGCTTTACATGGCTTTTTATGTGCAGTACTACACCCAGGCCAGGTTTCTGTGGTTCTGGATGATCTTCACTAGTTGTCTGGGAACCTGACAGATTATGAAACATATATTGTATTGTCAGACTGTCCAACTAACACGTACATGTGGCAGATATTTATACACATAACACACTTGTTACTGTATCGAGCACTCTTGGTGTTTTAGATAAAGGAAAATTGGCTCTAAACACATGAAACTACATGATTTCAAATGCAATACACACACCCCCTCACCCTCTACTTTACAACACAAACAATTCCTATATTATAAGGAGAAAAACTATGTTTAGAAGATCTTGAACATACAGCTTTGTTTGGCTGGAGGCAGAAAACAAAGAAAACTGAAAGAAAAAAGAAAAGAAAACTGTTTTGAACACACATCAACCTCGAGAAACGTCTTTTCGTTTTTTCTCAAAACTCTTTTTCCACCCCCACACCCCATTTCTGCCCACTCCACAGTCACTCAGCTTTCCCACTAATTCTTTCAACATGTTCAGCATTACTGCTTTAGTTGTTGCCAGATATTGACAGATTGCCAGATGTTGACAGATATGCTGTAATAAAGCAGATACTCTTTATCTGTGTCAACTTCTCCTTTATGTTGCACATAAATGCACACAATAATGTGATGTCAACCACTGACATTTTCATGTTTTCTATTCTATAAAAGCATTCAATGCAAAGTGCTCATGAAGATTTAAAAAAAAAAAAAAGTGTGATACTCAGCAAATGGGTTCAGGTAATCCTCAAATCCCTGGTATAAAGAGTACTGAGGAAAACCTGCATATGGACCAGGAGAACATCCAAACTCCACACAGTAAGGCCCAAGATGCAGGGTCTTATTAAGGACTCTCTTGCAAATCTTTTAGGATTTTTTGAGAAGTTTCCACTGAAGTCCTCTGAAAATTCACTTTCTTCTCTCCCTCTCTTCCTCTGTTTGTGCCACCAGCAGTGACTGACCTGTATCCCTTCCTCATCCAACTTCCGAAACTGACCTGATTGCCGGGCTCCATCCTCTCCTCTCCTGTCATGCGTCTCCTTGTTTCCCTCCTGCTCTTGCTACTCCTTGGATCAGCGGAACCCCGGAGAGGCCCTCGGTCAAAGGCTGTGGAGAGGGGCGCTAGGGGCCATGTACGGGGTAGAGGCAGGCCCGGCGTCATGAGGCGTCAAACTGAGGTGTGCTTGGAATACATGGAGTCGGGAGAAAAATACCTTGACTGCCAGGATAGGCAGCTGACCACTGTGATGCAGGACTGGCCCAAAGATATCCACCACCTACTGCTGGCGAGAAATAGGATTCAGGTATTTACAGGCAGATTTCTGTTCATCTGGTGCAAAAATAACAACTGATGTTAATTACAGCAGACTGGAGATCATTTGTTTTTGCAAGAAATTGGGTTCTTTGCAGCAATTAAGCCTGAGTTAAGTATCCATAATCTCTTACTCTCAATGCTTCAGATGGCTTGTTGATGCCATGAGCATCTGTGCACCAGTTATTTGGGAGCAAGATCAAAGACAGACTTTTCTTCCTTGTGTGTGCAGTTTTTTGCATGTCTGAGCAAGTACAGGATGTTTATGTCGCAGGTGCTGAGAGAACTGAAACAAAATGTTAGCCTGCAGGTTAATAAGTGGAAATGACTGAGCAATAGACACTGATGAAAGCAATGAAAACAGGTATAACTTATGTGGGAAGGAAACCGGATCTTGTTTTATTTTTATTTGTGTCTTCGGCACTTTGTTTTGGATTTAAACGGGATATATTTTATAATTTAAAACATTGTTAACATTTATTTTTTACACTAAAATATGTAATTTGAAAAGTTAGATACTTGGAATTACAGATAGAGAAAACTGACCCATGCTGTGTAATTTGAATGTCTTTCACCACCTGCAGCACTTTGGGTTTACTGTTGCTGTTCAGAAATGGTAATCTTAACATAGTGGACCACTGTATTTTCCAAATGTCTGACATCTGGCTCCAGCAATATGGGAATTTTAAACTTCAGGCTCTGAAACAGTTGCGTATACACCAGTGGGTAATGCCACAGTAGTTATGGCCATTTTTTATATAGAATCTGTGGTATAACATGGGGTCAAATGGCCGTAGGAGGCTAAATTTCTACAAGCTGCAAACTGCAGACGATTGAAGTTTTTTAGTACAGTAAAGATAAGAATAATGCACAAGTAAGCTTATGGTAAATGCTACCATATTGTCCAGAAATGCAAATAAAACAACTGGAGTACATCTCTCCTTTCAGGTTTTGAGGGACAACATGTTTGCTCAGTTCACCCAGCTGAAGAGCTTTGATCTCCAGCAGAACCGCATCTCCAGGGTGGAGGATGATGCGTTCAGTGGCCTCTCCCAGCTCAAAACCCTGCTCCTCCAGCACAACCAAATGACAACAGCCTCCGAGGAGGTCCTGCTCCCCCTACCCCGCCTTACTTATCTCCGTCTCTATGACAACCCATGGAGCTGCCTGTGTCCCTTGGAAAGCTTGATCAGAAAACTGCAGCTGCCAGGCAACCGCAACCTGGGCAATTTCGCCATATGTGCAGAGCCTCTTTCACTGAAGGGTCAGAAACTAAAAAAGTTGACTGTAGACCTGCTGTGTGAGGAAGACAAGGGGCCAGAACCTGGAGTTGTAGAACGGCCAAAGCCTCCGCCAAAAAGGAAGCCAGATGCCACCTCCATGTGCCGCACATACATGTTTCCCAAACCGCTGCTGGACTGCAGCAACAAAGGTGAGAGATTGTCAAGTTTTGTATCTCTATATCTTTATCTATACATTGTGACCTGTTCTTTAAACCTGTGTCTTCTTGCCTTGAAATCTGAGGCAAGAAGACACAACTTGGATGCCACTATAATATAAGTTGACGTATGTAGGTCTTGGTTGGGGCAGCAGAGGTTACCTATTAGCAGCATTGCTATGAGGATGCTGGTTTGTCCAGATGTTTTAGAAGGACTGGTGTGAAGGTTTGTGCAGAAAAACTTGGACTAAAAGCACCTTATTAAAAAACTCATTTACAGTTTATGTTCAAATGGTTTTTTATTAACTGTGAAATGGGGGGAAAATACTTTTTTTGGATGGTGAGCATTATGTACTGGATGGGGAAGTTGTGGTTAGTAAAACCACACAAAAATCATCTTACATCCGATCTTTATTCTTGGAAATGTGGTGAAAATAAGAAAATATTACCATGTACTAAACTGAGCTGGTGAAACATAGTAATCTTTATACTACATGTTTGTTTGCCTGTTAGAAAAGTTGCATTTCAAATTAACTACAAAGTACTCCGTTCACATTCACTCCTCTTTTATAACACTAACTAGATGCTGAGTAGCCCAACTTTACATTTACGCCATAAACGCAACACAAAGAAGAAGCCATGTGGGGAGTAGGATGTGATTATTTTCTTATTACTGACAAAGTATCTCGAGGACATCACTGAAAGAAAAGCCAGGGTGCAGTACATAGAAAATTATGGCATTTAACAGTTGTTTTCACTAACCTGTCAATCCGATTTAATTAATTTTCTCTAATTGAAGGAATGTTGTTCTGGAATGTGACTTTGACCCCGTGTATCATCCTAGCTTTAGCATATTGATATAACTTTTAGTCAAAGTTAAAAAGACATTATAGAAAAAACACTGAGATGCTTATTATTAGTGCAATAGCAGAAAAACGATCAGCTTTAATCAAACTAAATGTAGGAATGAAATAAACTCTAACAAAGAACAATTTCATTGTTTCTGAATCAGACAGTATTTGTCTGAATCCAACCAATTTCAGGGGCTTTGCTAAACTTGGCCGCTTCTTTGTTGCAAACAGATAAACTGCTGTGAGAGGAGTACTTCATATGAACAGGCACATTTATTAGCTTTGCTCAGCGCTCTTTGGGACACAGTCATGCTTATTTGTTCATTGAAATTAGGCGCAAGAGTTTTTTTTGTTGAATTATGTTTGGACTATAAGCAGGCGGCAAGCAGAGATGTGTTTGTTTTATTAGCAATTTCTACACTGGCTGTCTGAGCCTCGCTGGGTGGAAAGGCGTACACTCTCTTCTCCTTTTTCAAACTCTTGCTCAGTAGTGGAAAAGTTAGGATTAAAAAGTAAGGTTTCATATATATAATACATGTACAGGTTTTTGTGTGAAGGCAGATTTCTTTATCTGATCAGCCAGTATTTTAGGCTTGTTCTTGTTATTACCCATCATGTAATGTGACATTTGATGAGTTAAACTTTTGCAGTACTATGAAAAAGTATTTGCCCCTTCCTGACTTCTTCTTCGTTTCATTTCTTTTTTCTTTTTGTGTGAATTTTGTAGGATTTTTCACATCATCGAATAAATATTAATATTAGACAGACCATCTGAATATAAGAAAAAAAATTGCAATGAAGCCAATGAGTCTTTGACATTGCTGTAGAGGAATTTTGGCCCACTCGTTTTTGCAGAATTGTTTTAATTCAGCCACATTGGAGGGTTTTTGAGGCTTTGCAGCGTTTAACATGTGGGTCATGTTAAAGGCTTTCTTTGTTTTTCTGAGCCACCTTTTCTGACCCCAATCCAAAATGAACATTTTGGATTGGCCGAGTCAAAGTGCAAACTTAAATGCATTTGAGATGCTGTTGCATGACCTTCAACAGAATTCCTCCACAGGGATGTGAAAGACTCACTGCAAGTCATTGCAAACACTTGATTGACAAGGACTGGCGCAACCAGTTTTTAGGTTTAGGGGCAATTACTTTATCACAGCACTACACGTGCGCTCTAAACTTTGCAAATATAGTCCAAGTTCTCACCCAGGTTTTCACATCTGGTTCTATCTTTGCATTAAGCTGTCACTATGAGACTGTTGTCATAGTGACCCCAGTGTTGCCTTCAAAAAGACAGAGATGGCAATTTCTGAATTTGTGCAGATGCCTCGTGGTTACTTTCATGTGGCCTCTCCAGTTCCTCTTCTATCTTCTTTTTGTTGTCCTCTCACCATCCATTTAATTTAACACACACTGAAACTCTGACACTTTCTGCGTCCATTATTCTGACCAAGTCCTACATAAGGATTTGAACACATCTATCAATGGCGAGCTTGTATCCTCCTGAGAAAGCAGTCTTTCATAGAGAATCGACAAGCCAAAACCACACAATGCAGCTTCTGTGTCGTAAGGGCCTGAAGAAGCTTTTGCATATTTTCCTAATTATTTTTTTTCTACAGTAAGACATTTGAATATGTTCTTTATCTAAAGCATCATAAGGTTTCTCTGTTTCGCTCACAGGGTGAACATCCCATCCATCTCTCCACTACTTTCCTTTTTTATGCCCAGTAATGGTTCTCCCCATCCTGCCTCTTTCTAAACCACACCGCACCATAAAAGCTGTATGTGTTGTGTGAATATTGCTTAATATAGTGCAGCTGTTGTGCATGACAGTTAATTCATGGTTTTGTGCTTTTGATTTGAAAGGATGCCCACGCTGCATATTTACTTCTCATTTTGTTCTTTTCCAGCCCTTGTGTTTTCATTTAATAGTTGTATTTGCTGTGTGAAATCTAATCTAAGCATTACACTTACATGATTTCCCCCTAATCTTTTGTCTATTTGACAATCTAAGTGCGTAGAGTTTTCTTTGCTGTAATTCAGCCCAAATGAACTACTGTTGAAAGCCACAGGGACACAGTGTCTCTGTGGCTTAAAAACTAACAAATCTTAACTACTGATCTGTATGCGTTGGTTTATGTTACACATCAACTTTTGAATCTCACAGTCTAAGAAGGCTAACTTGACATTTTGGTTAACTTGATGTGTTGGTCCACTGAGTTAATGTGACCAGTGAACCGTGGTATATCGTCAGATTTGATTTTTACCCAGGTGTCATCCACATACCTGAACTAAAGATTTGGTGGTGTTCCAGGGTAGGACAACAGAGCCCTCTTTTCCACTTCTTCCATGAACAAGTTGGCCACAGTGGGTGAAACTGGGGAACCCATGGCGCACCCATGTTTTTTGCCCATGTTTTTTTCTGGTTTTTGTACTGACCTGTTTTTGTAAAACATGTGGAAAGAAGACAGTTCCAAAAGAAAACACACTTGGTCAGTGCTGAGAGTGGTCCTGTTGTTGAAGTTGATGTCATTCTGTAATTTCTTACGAGCTGCGTCCACTGCTTCAGTGACTGGAACACAAGTAATGAAAGATGTAATAACATCCCTTTGTCAACAAAATCTAATGTCTTCTGGATGTTGTGTTTAGAGCTGCCTAACAACGTGTTGAGGATTGAAGCCAGAAACTTTGAGATGTTATAGGTGAGGATGATGGGGAAGGCATACTGTAATAAAAGGATAGAGTACACGAATGTACTTGAAAATGATGGTTAGATGCCACAAAAACAAAGCCCAGGAGCCAGAAGCAGACAGAGATGGATCGGGGAAAACCAGGCCACCCGCAGCCCCCAAGGGTACTGAAGACCTAAGGCCAAACATCTTCACCCAGCAGGAGAAGGAGGGATAAGTAGACACCCCCCTCAGATTATACAGAGCACTGTGATTATATTGGCCACTGTGATTATATTGGTTTTAGGGCCATGGTGTGACATTAATGCCCATTTATCTACAGTGTCTTAGTAAAGTCCTTGGCCACTGTTATAAGAACAGTTTGAGTTCTTTATAGTTTGTTTCCAAGGACCCAGACTATCTTTTAGTTGTTAAAGTGCTCTTGAGCAATAGTTCTTCTGTGTTTTTCACGGGCTTTCAACGTTTTCCTTTGGACATTGGCTGCTTTTTTGCTCATTTTTAGTCCAGTCTTGGTACGTGACTGTTTTCAGAATGTCTGTCAGGCTACTCAACTCATAAAAAAAGCACCCAACTTGATGGATGAACCAGTGTTGTATCTACGCATAACAGAAAACTTAACTACACTAGAGTATATAAAATATTCTAGTAAGCCCCATCACTTCTGATATCGTAAGATGTTATACATAAGCCAGACGTGTTAAATGAGAGCAAAAATCTTCCATCTTTTAACAGTACCCCCCCGTCCAACATTATAAATCTCATGATGCTGCTCAGAAACCCAGTTTTATGTTCCTAGACGTTGTTTTTAAAGCTGCTGTTACAGCCGGTATATCATAGATTTCAGTGGTAACAAGTGCTGTGTAAAAACTTGGGACATTTGACATCTGAGTAGGCAGCACAAAAATGAGTCATTTGTATATGGTGACTCGGCTGCACATACACCCACACTCATAGCACTGTTATAGCTCTCTATGGATCTCGTGGATCACAGACAGCAGATCGTTAGCAGGAAAAAAAAAGACCATATTTTAGGTTGAGGAAATGTTGCTGTGGTTTCAAGGGTCCTGACAGCAATGTTAACTGTTTACCTTTTGGGAAACTTTTTTACTTTTTCACCCTGGGGTGAAACGGTCACAGAAGCAATCAATTTAGCATGGGAGGAGCACTGATTTGGTCACCGTCATAAATATAAAGTAAACAGAGTTACTAATAGGTTTTCCACTTTTTACACTTAATAATAATCTCAACTCGGTTGCTAAGGGTTCTGAATAGACTAACATTCATTGCACTTCATATCTGTGTTTCTTTCTCTGCCATGAAAGCATTTTTGGTACATTTACAATTTAACAAGTAAGGTGCATTTGACCTCACATGACATGTGGAACCGAGAAAGGCCCATCCTAATATATAAACTACTTTATTGCATCCTAGTGCAACTATGCAACACATAATACTG